TCTTAACCAGCACCCAAATAATTAGCAATATAACTTCTGATGCTATAAAATTTGGTTATGTGCTAAAAACATACAATGGGTAAATTTAAATGAGGAAAATATTCATGCTATGTTTCTGTCACCCAACATAACAAGCCTATCCCATCAATGGACAAAGGAATTATCTAGTATATAAAGATGAAGTACTGATCTTTTTTGTGCATTTTCCATAATTTCTAGAAACAATGAAAGATATCAGATTTACTTTCTCTTGCTCAGAAAGATGTTAAGAACATTACATCACTGCTGACGTAATTTGTGCTCTATGATCATGTTTGCAGAAGATGACTCAAGTAAAGAAAAAAAAATTCTCCTGGTTGTAAAACACCTTTGGTGCTAGTGGCCAAAATCTTTGATTTAGCCTTATGTCAGAGAAAGAATTAGTGAAGAGAAGATGCAAATTAAATGAACACACAGTTTTCATCATATTTTCTCATGACAACAAAATACTTAGCTACATGCTAAAGAAAGAGGAGGAAGTTTATACCGTACAGGAAAGCAATTTACATGGAAGGAAGCTGAGAATTCCCTGCGTCGGTACTTCATATTATGAAGCTTAATTACCCAGCAAATTTTTAACATTACAGTGATAATTACATAAGCAAATAGACACTTAAAAGTTATACGCTATAACACTATAAAGTTTGTAACAATCGCATATTAATAAACAAGGTAGTTTTTTGAAGAAAATATTCTGGCAAATTCTCTCTTATTCTAGTGATAACTGTTTTATAAGGTATTTAGCATTAAAAAATAATTAATAAAAAAGCAGCTAATATTATTTACTACTGGGGAAAAAATAATTTCATTTTCAATACAATCAAGCTTGGGAAAAGTCTAAATTTGAGCAATAAAAATAAATACCCAAGGCTAGCATATATGGATATTGAATTTTAAACTATACACATTGATATTCATTTTAGAAGTAAAGCATGAAAATCTACATGCAATAGAAACATCAATTATGACAGCTCTGAATTATTCAAAAAGCACAACTGAATGGAAAACTAATTCACAGAAGTTTCAATATGAATATTGTACCCTCTCCCCCTCCCAAAAAAAACCGTGCTACACAAAAAATCCGCATTCCATACCAACATACCCTAAATGTCATCAAAATAAGTCACTTTAGCATGCCAAATGGCAAAAAACTGCCATACCTGCAACTATTTTGATGTTGAAATGACTAGTCTTATTGTGAGAAATAAGCATGAAACCCTTTTAAAAACTACCAGGTCATTTTTTTTTTGGAAAATTCAAAATGAGAGAATATACTCTACAAAGATACTTGTTTCACTAATATGTCATCACTTTATACAGCCACATATCATTCACTATTACGACGTATTTTTTTCATTTGTAAAAATTAGCTTTATGATAAAAAATGCACTAAAAATGGATATACTCGTTATATATACTTATTTTTATAAACATTTAATTCTATAAGAGATGCAAAGAGACTTTAAAAGGTATCTTGTACCATATAATTATGGCAAAATTTATAAACTCAAATGAATACAAGCTTTCAATTTTTTATTTAACCAAGACTGAATTAATACACAATAAATGCTTCAGATATCAGATGTTTTACTGCATTTCTGTATTCTTAGCAATTAGGGGTATAAATTACATGAATTATGAGTAGAATGCATGATAAAGATACTATGCAAATAAACTTGTAGGTTTTTCATAAGAGTGAGCAACATTAACATGAAGGCTGCTTCACATGCCAGCACAAATGGTTATACAGTACAAAGTCCGAAAACCGGACTTATTCCGGATTTGGGATTTTTCCGGTTATTAGATCATCAATTTAAATTTGGTAAGATGGCACTCAGAAATACAATTAAAAATATGAAATCATAATTTATGAAATAAAGAACAATTATGATCTAAGGGGTATCAAAATTTACAAAAAAGCTTAATATTTATATGTTTATTTTATTAAACATTTCTTTCGATGGAAGTTGTTTAAGTTGCTTCCACCAAAAATTCAAAATGTTTCTTTTTCTTATGTCATATACAGTTGACTTTCCAATGCCATACTCCTCGCCCAATTTTGAGACTGATATCCTCCATCCATTTTTTGCAGCAATTCCACAATTTGTTAAATAGACATCGAAACATGGTTTTGCTTTGTAGATGCTTTGACAGCTCCAGAATTGGAAAATCTTTTCGACATAATCGAAAGTTCAAGCTTAGTTTTTATAAAATTGCCGTAATGATAAGTCTTCAAAAAATAAGCTGGATCAAATCAGAAGATTAGGGAGCAGCACAGTCTGCTACATTAACTGAAATGCCTTAGAATCAGTAAAGAACTTAGAATCCTTAGGAATCAGCTCCTATTGCATACCGAATTAAGCCCGAATTGTATTAGTTTATTATTTACTATACCAACGCTTATTTCTTGCACATGCTTAAAACTAGTCCGAGTTCTGAATAGATAAACTCCAACATATATTAGGGCCGGCGCTAGATACCAACTGGTGCAGTCTTTACGGATCCTAAATTCTGCTACAAAATGCCTTTCTAAGTTCTAAATTTTCACCGCACCTGAACTTTGGATTCCAGTGCTTTCCCTAAATCATAAAACTTCCCATTCCCTAATTTTGCCGCTCAGACCAAGGCGTTTGGTTACGGAGTACCTTTGCAATAAATTGCACTTACCTCAACATCATTGTTAATGAAAATTGAAACAATTGAGAGAAAAGAAGCATTCGATAAAGGTGAAAGGAAAAGCTGTTAAGCTAAAGTCAAAAAATCGCTAATGAGTCATCACTGTTAGGACACAGGGAGAGTACAAGCAGTTGTCACAAGAGAACATTTAGCCTCCTGCTGTGACTTGACTGCAGGTAGCTTCTCCAAATTCCAAAAATTTTGATTTACTTAATTATGGCAAAGCACACTAGGGCTATCTGCCTAAAGGGGAGAGATGCCATCGTGGAGGACGTTTTAAGGGAAACTGGCTCGTATACACGTTACACATGGGGAAAACCACGAAAACGCCCATGCAGCCAGCCTGTTCGCCGGATTCGAACCTTGGACGAACTACCAGTGTTCAGCGACTTTACCGCTCGGCCGCTGGTGGGCCTCCAAAAATTTTGTCTTTCCTAAATTCTGTGATCCGGTGCCATAGCACTATGTAATCTTTTGGCCTACGAGTTTCATTAACTCTTTTGCATTGAGGCTAAAATCTCTTTTCCCCAAACATCGAAAACGCCCGTGTCTACGAATTTCTCCTGGAATGCTTTTCCTTCACCCTATGACAAACTGAATACTACAAAAACCTACTTAAGTAAAGCAGGAACTTCTTTCTTGGATTCTTTCACCGTATGTGAAGTTTCCCCTTGGGACGGGATTGCAACTTCGGGCATCAAAAGCAAAACACTGACAGTAACCAAAGGAAAGGGAAGGTTTTAGTTGCTTCAAAAGAATGATTGACATGCCATTTAACAACACCTGAAAGCAATGTGCAGTAACATGATGGGGGGAAAGTACTAGATAGAAAGGTTCAGGCATTTGAGGCATCCAGCTGATGTCTGAATGCTCGGGCATTTGGGGTGGCTTTGATGCAGAAGAGTTAAAATCTATTTTTAGCACATGAAAAGAAAGTTTTGTTGAAATTTTCCTCGACATTTCTTACAGCATTTAAAAATCTATGATCATCGCCAAGTGTAATGTTAGCAAAAAGGTTGCCATACTATTGTTATTCAATTCCCAATATAAAAAAAGTTTAGATACCGCTACATGATTTATTACTGAAGCTGTCATGTATTGATAAACATGCGGTGATGAAAGAAAAATATAATAAATAATGACTCACCAGGTCAGCGTCAGGTATATAAAATAGGTGAATGTTTCGGTTTGAGATGTATGCCAAGCAGATACTCAGCTACAAAGCCAAATTATTAATCTCAGAAATTTAGGTTTGCATGATTGTTTTTCCACAACAAGGTATTTTATTTAGTGCATAAGTGAAATTAAGAATCGAAATTTTTAAGTGAAAATCTCCACATGTTTCATTATGGAAGGAAAAATCAAATGCGCATGCATAAAAAAACTGTTTGCGGCTTTGGGGTCCCGATTTTAGATTATTCCAGATAATGGGCGTCCCGATTTCAGACTTTGTATTGTACTCTGCATAAAATATAAAAAAAGATGATCCAAACCTACACAAAAACTAGCCTCCATCTTACAAATATCTCGGAAATTATTTTGAAGATAATCCAAACTACTAGCATTTAAGCTTAAATTAAATGCAATCCTTAATGAAAAAGTATGGGACACTAAATTTATGCAAATTCTGAAAATCCTTCATTTAAGAAAAACAGTTATATTCAGATGGCACATTCAGAAGCATTAAAATGAAGAATATGCACAGAAAGAAGTTAACTAATAATTTACGGAAAGTGGGTTTTTTTTTTTTCTTTTCAGTTTTTGTTGAGTTAAAATTTAATATTTTTGCCAGTCATTAAGAAGTAACGAATGACTTGCTTTTCCTAATAAAATGTTTTCACTTATTCAGTTACATAACATTTGCATATATTAAGGAGAAATAAAGCACTTGTATAATTTCTCTTTTTATAGACAATGCAATAGAAGCCACTTTAAACTACGCCAATACACGGAATTTGTGAATAAGGTTTTATAGAAATCATATTGCTTATGCCATGTACAAATGCTTCAAATTTAAGAGCAGTTTCCAATAAATTACAATCAGTCTGCCTCCATTCAACAAATATTCTAAAGCTCAGAAAAACATCAATTATAAAATTAATAAAAGTTCATTCTCAAATATTTCATGCAGATGGAAACAAAAAGATATGTAAATAAAACACCAGTTATATTGTGAACAAACCAATTATGAGAATTTTAACAGTTATAATATCCACTTACATGAATATCGGAAACTAAAGAATTAGGTCTAAAATTCTTATAGTTGCTATTGCATATGCACTTACCCATTTGTTGCACAGTTCCATTACAGCTGTTCCACTGCCTGTGCTTTTTTGCACTACAAGATATGAAAAACAGATGGGTATTGTTGTTATGAAGGCAATTTTATACATATCATTTGCAATTTCCAGTGATATTCTCAGTTGACTTTTCCCCCTTTTTTGGATATAGTTGTTATATTTATCAGTAAAGGAAGTTTAGAAAAAAGAGTCAATCTTGCTTTTTAAATAGCTATTCAATTCCGAGAAGTGTATTTCCACCGTAGCTTTCAACTTTCCTTCCCTTTCAATTCTTCCAACATAGTGGTATGTAGAAATGCCAATTAAATAAAAATCCAGACAGTAATGATTCTCTTTGCTTAGCCAATCCTTTTTTGAATTGAATTTCAAGACTTCAGAAATAAATAAACAATCTAATGAAACTGAACTCAAAAAAGTAAATTCCACATTCCATTTCTCTAAAATTTACATGGTTTCAGATCTCAAACTAAGAGATTTTTAGCAAATCTAAGCTTTCAGAATGCAGATCTTTGTTTAGATCTAATAAAAATATGCAAAATTAATTGCAGCAATTAATGAACAATTATGATTTATGAATAAATTACACCACACAGTGCAACAAAAAAGGAGACCATATAATTTTAAAATTTCTATGAAGCCAACTTTATTATACTTCATAAAATCATGTACCACCTCATTCAGCAAATGCTTACCTTAGAATTAGGCACACAATTTTTAATTCAACATTTTTACACCAAACAGTTGAAAACACTGCTCCAACTATACTGTATAACAATAACGGACTTCCAGCAACAACTAATGAAAAATAACGGACTTCCACCAATAACTAATGAAAAATAAATGCATATAACTCCCCCTCCATTTGATTCAGATTTAACCTTGTGATTACTTCAGATTTTAGGAAGTTGGGGGAGGACTTTTTGAGGTTGCCACACCTTCCTTTAAGATCATGGAGGTAGGAAAGGAAGGAGGGGCCAAACGGCGCTAAAAGCGAAGCACTGCTTTGAAGCTTGGGTCACCAGATGGCGTGTTCTTTGTTTACATTCAGAAGCTCGCTTGACAGGATTCTGATAGTATTTCGACACACGACAGTTCCATACAAATCGAAAAAGGGACACTTTCGCATGAAAGAAACATTCATAGTGTGATGGATAATAGCAATTTATACAGTTTAGTGACATTTACGCAAAAATCACATCTTGGTTATTTTTCGATAACTAACAACAGTGATTTTGATTATGAATTTGTTTTATAAAATTCTAAGCTGTTGAACTACAAAAATAGATTTTAAGAAAAATGTTATGCTTAAAGAATGAAAAATACTAGAATGAAAAATGTTATGCTTTTAAAGGAAAAAAAAGAATGAAAATGTTATGAAATCTATTATTAGCATTAACTAATTTATAATTAGATGTGTAATGTCTTTAGCATGTATTCTCAAAATGTATTTGCATATTTTTATTTAATATTTCTATAATGCAAATTACTTTGCGATTATTTAAACGCAAAAAGAATTCTTCGTAAATGTAGAAATTTACGCATGTTATCGGTGGGTTACTATTTACATATATTTAAAAAGATGATTATGAAAAAGAATTACTACATTTTGGGTACACTCGACCTAAAAAATTAGTTATGTTTACGCATATGTGTTAATTACAAAAATAGTTATGTTTATATGCTACTATTTTAGTTAGTTTTACTTACGTTTCACGCATATTAAGAGTTTAATTTGGCATGACGTAAATACATTTTTAGTTCATATATAAATGCATGTATATTGCAATTTAACGAGCTAAAATCGCGACTCATATTGGTTATTAAATTATTTTTCAAAGTATTTTGATTCTCAAGCAAATGCTTAAGGAACTGAACAGCAGAACTGACCAAGCGAACCCAACTATGTCATCAGTCTCTTCTTTCGGTTTCAGCCGCGAGAAGCTGATGAACTAGCCTTTTAGCCCTGCCGTACATGGAGGTTATTCTAACCACAGAACATCTAAGGAAAGGTTCCATTATGCCGCTAGAAAGCGGAGCGAAAATTCTCTAAGGTATTTGGCGACGGAACTTGGCGGCCAGAATTTCCCTCTCCGCGATGTGTATAGGAAATTGAGAAACTCGTATTAAGAAACGTCTTTGATGAAACATTTTCTTGTTTAATTTTTTGCAATAATTTAAAAACGGTTAGTTAGTTTTTTTTTTTTTTTCCCTCAACTAATCCATCAATTAATTTACTTGCGTAAAAAAAATATTTTCTTTTGCTTTAAAAGAAATTTTAAACGATATTAATTTTATGAACTTTTGATAATGTGACCTTCGAACATTGATACAGGCTTCAAGCTTTGGCAACATATTTTGTGCATGCGCTGCTGTTTTCCACCATGTTGGAAGGGAACCACTCCTATTAGAGATGTTTTCCTTAACATATTAAAGGCGGGAGTCGTAGTACTACGATTTATCTCGACTGTAGCTTAAAGGGAGTCTTAGTAATACGATTTATCTCGACTGTAGCTAGCACATGGATTGCGCAATGTGGTTTTGTATTTAGTATGTTTTGTGGTTTGAAGCTGCTCGCTTGTTCAAATTCTACTTAAAGTAAATTATGAAATCCTTCAATATGGTTTCACGTGAAAATAAAGATATATATGCAGACGATTTGATGGACATTGAAGAGCCAGGTCAGACTCCGCGATATAAAATTGATCCGCCTGGACGTCTTTCATTTGACATCAAAAAGCAGAAATTAATTCGGACAGAAAATAAAGGCAAAAAGCCATATGCCCAACGAAACTGTGTAGTTCGTGCGGCACATAAAAAAAAGAAAGTTGACTTGCTTCAAATGAGAGTTTTGCAATGCACCTCTTCACCGTGGCGAGTGTTATCAACATTAACGGTCATAAAATATACTAAATTCTTCTCATAATATGTACTTTAAAACATTTTTTTGCAATTAGTGTTTAGTTCTTTTTTAATATTTCTTGTAGTTTTAAGAGTTTTAACTTTTTTAAGTCAAAATTTTTTTATGATATTTTTACACAAAATATCGCCCGCTCTAGGACAAAAAACGAGGCGAGGCGGTCGCCACGTCACCTAGCATACTTTCATCAAGGTCCCCCGCATTTAATGTGTTAACAATACATATTCTTTGATTCTAACCTCTATTGTACCGTATACTAGAATTAAACTGATTTTGTTTATTTCAACATGAACTGCACGTACGCATGCGATTCTTGAAGTTATTGGGAACTTGCTTTGCTAAAAGACAATCTAATTGGAGCAACGAAAATTGGCTCTATGCCAGCTGACCGAATGACGCTCACGTGATACACAATTCGACAAGAAAGTGATCACTTTCAAAGTTGGCGCAAAACGCTTTCTTTGGGTGGGGATTGCTGTATGAAATTCCGACTTTTCCAGATTTTGACTAAAGTATTTAAATTCCCAGACTTTTCTCTGAATTTCTTGGTCAATTTTTGAATTCCCTGACTTTTCCCAGTATTCAGGGTAGCATGGCAACCCTGATACATACAATTTAAATTTCAGCAGATTATTACGTCCATTATTCACACCAAAATATACTTCCATGAAGAATTTTTCTCTCAGTGTATATTAAGTGTTGTTTCAGTAAAAAACATTTAGTATAACTAAGACGATACCTAGAATGCATTTTAATGGTTCTCTCATTTTATATTACTACTCTTAATCTCCATAATGTTTTACTGCCTTTCATCATTTAATCTTTTATTAGTACACAAATAAAGCCACAGAAGAAAATTAAATCTTTGCTGAATCTTACATCACACATTAAAAGTTCAGATCAAACTTCAGACTTATTTTTCAGATGCAAAACTTTAAAATGCAGTTTCCACTATCACACAAAAATAGGACATTCTTTGCAAACTGAAATTTTAAAAAAAAATTACAGTACCAGCCATTTATTAAACTCACTGGTTAATAACATTCTAATTTCCAGAAATGAAGAATATATATATACTAATCAACACAAAAAGTGTCATTTATTAAACTTATCTTGAAGACGTATAAAACTCAAAACTAGCAAAAGTCTGATTATTCAGATCCAGAATAAACTGTGGCTGATAAAAGCTCTCGGTAGTTACCTATTAGTTACGTAGTGCTTCACAATAAAAATAAAATAGGTTTAGCAGAATTTTTTTCCGGAAGTTAAAACTAAGACCCCCTGGATTTTGGGTATACTTTCCTAGTTCCTGTCAGACAATGTAAGCTAATCTGTCCGGACTAGAGCTAAGAGCAATAAGTAACTTTGTCTTATGATAAATAAAAGCAGTCCTCCATTGGAAACAAGTTTTTCGATTATAAATCAATGAGTGTTTCCAGGATTAAAGGTTAAGTGGTGTTTAAGTGAACATTTTAACCCTTTGTCAAACATCTGAGAGGGGATCGAAATGCATACACACATTAAGTTTGCACGGTATTCTCAGAAAACATCATGAAATGCTTCTTTGCATTATCGTACATTATCAGTCTTCGAATGTCACAGAGGAATGGGTCATAGTAGGCTGAAGAAAAAAGAAAGCATCGATTTCGCTTATAATAACCATGAAGTGACAAGTCAATTTGATAAAGGTGCGATCTTCCTGCTGGCAAAAAACAGGAATTTTGGATATGAACAAATGTCTAATCTTTGGAATATGGTAACAGGTAGTTTGGCAACATTTTGGTAAGGCGATAAAGGTTACTAGCTAGGACTTTAGCAGTGTACATGGATAAAGTCAAGAGTGTGCACAATACCATTTTTGTGCAATTCTGGGATTTTTTTTAAAGTGAAAATAAGTTGACGTGTACATGGATACAGTGTATGTGCCATTCTTAAAAACGCGGCAAACAGTGGGCAATTCTGCACTTTCCCCCAATTTCGCACGTCATGATTAAGCACTTTTCTTCCGTAACAGTTCTAGCATAAGCGTAATTCGGCTAACAGATTGTTGGAAAAAAATGTTGAGTAAAAAAAAACATGCCTTTACTTCGTGAAAACAAAATGGCGTGCAAAAAAAATTTG